GAAGTTCTTCATTTTCTACCAAAGCTTTTCCTCTTCAGTGGCAGAAACCCCCTTAAAACTTTCCCTACTCTGAGGGCTCCTGATTTAGGACTTGTAGAGTCTCACCAAGAAAGGAAGTAGCAGTTTTGATCAAAACAAAGAAGCATACACAGCAACAGCCGCAGCAAGTCACACAGACACAAGATCATGAAGAATCAACTCCATCTATGTATTTTGAAAATATCGAATAGCATTCCGAGAATTCTACCAAGTGCTGAAAGAACGAGGACATAAAAGCATTCCATTTTTTAAATGGTCACATGTAAGAATTCATAAAGGGAAAAAAATCATTCAATCAAACACATGAAAATATATCCCCCAATGGAGATATTTTTGTGTTCTCTCATTCTAGCCTCTGAATTATCTAATATAAATTTATATTCTGGGAAAATTTTACCACATGTGAGAAATCTATGTAGCATCTTATTAAAGGGTGGCCTCTAGTATCAGACTAATCTAGGTTTAACTTTTGCCTTAGCTACTTTGTTTGCTGCATAAATTTGAACAAGCACTTAACCTTTCCAACTGTTAGCATCCTCACCCCTAAAATAAGCACACACCTGCCCTCATTGTGGGTGAGCATCAAAGGAGAAAATATACACAAAGCACATTGTACGGTTGCTGGCACACAGAAGGCACTCTGTTTATTCCATATTTGGTTTGTGCCTCTATACTAGTTACTGGGCCAAGATACAGCCAACAGGGCCTCAGTTCTCATAGTACTTATAGGCTGGATGAATTAGCATATGGCTCCATAACATCTGCATCTTTTGGTTCTGTTTTGCATGGAAGAGTGTCTCTATGCAACATTAAACAAAATAAAAAGAAATATTGGCAATTTCCTGGAAAACTGATCAAAGGCATAGGCCATTCCTCTCTGTATTATACTTATGGTATGACGAATGCCTCTTGGTTTTCTAGTTCACAGGGTCATCTGTTTGTCTTATTTATCAAAACACTCTGCTCTCATTTACCCTAATTCTCTTACTTCTGTAAGCACTAATTGAGCTCCTGGTCTATACTAGGTGCTCAAAAAGAGAAAAATGAATGAGAAATGCTGTGTATGATGGAAGCCTATTTAAGAAAACACAAGGGAACACCTGATGATGTGGCTGTTGTGACAAGAGAAAGCTCTTGGCTGGAAAGAAAGAGGGGAAAATGGTCAAGTCTTCCTAGGGAAAGCTCACAGAAGGACAAGAGAGGAATGCTGGGAACTGAACTGGGGTGGAGGAGTGGGTGGGATGAAAATATAAAAGTAGGCAGAAAAAAAAAACCCAAGAAGACAGAGAAAGAGCAGCCCCACACTACAGAAAGAAAAAAGAAAGGAAATAAAACAGAGGGGTTAGGGGGAACCTGGGAAGGGATCGTTTCCTGAGGAAGAGAGGAGTCAGGTAACCTAGAGGCCACGGTGGCTACTGTGAACACAGTTTCAGTGGTGTGGTGGGTACAGAAGCCACGTCATAAGAAATGCAGGCCCGAGTGGGAGATGAAGAGTAGAGGTGGCTAGGCTGGGCCACTCCACCTCTAGAAGAAGGAAAAGAGAAAAGAATATAAACAACTAAACATTAGCACCAAGTGATAACCAGTGGTGTATATTCCAGGCAGACAGAGCTCGGGCTAACTGCTCCCTGGCTTTGAAAACTGACTGTCATTTCCTCTCTGCGTGATTGTGAGGTAGTTATTTTACCTCTAGCATCCCAATTCCTTCATCTATACAGTGGGGTTAGTACTAGTTTCTTCTTCACTGAGTCATTGTAAAGATTAAAGATAAAGTGCCTGGTGTAGAGTAAATGTTTATTACTCTATTTCAAAGTACTGTGGAAACACAGTATATGACTTCACCCATTCTGTTAGGTAAGCAGAGGTAGAGAATAATTTATAGAGGGGTCATGGAAGCCAGACCATAATGCATAAGATTTTATTTTTCAAGTAGGGAAAAAAATTTAAAAAGCATATTTGAAAGGTGAGCACAAATGATACAAAGACAAGTGCATGTGAAATCAGAGGGTGACTTGGGTCAATACTCACACCAGGACTTTGGAAAGATCCACTACTAAGATATGAACTCTTGAGGTACCAGTCTATTTTTTATTACTTTTACTTCTTGAAAAATATCAAACATAGATCATGACGACGGACAAAAGCCAGTTATTATTTTTATTGAAGGAAAACTGTATAGTGAAATTCATTATTTGTTTCTGGCTAAGTTTCTGTTTCCAAAATAATTTTCTGGGCTTCATTAATGGCTTCAGGCTTGCATATGGTCCTTGTATATCTAGAGGTGGGATGGTGGCCTTCTAGAGAATTGCTTTAACTGAATTGTGCTTCTGGGTGACTTTGATGGGATTATATTGTTTGCCTGTGTCAGCAGATTGGTTGGAAACAGTCCAGGGCAATTCATCATCACATTTAATGCACAGGTATTGTTTAAAATGGATTTCATTATACTACATAGTGTCTGTTTATGAGGATCCTTAGGAGACAGGCTTCATGGTCTTAATATACATAAAGAACATTTGTGCTTCACTTGACAAAATGGATTGATCTTGTAACATAGATACCAGAGTCTACTGGGTCCTTGCAAAGACTGCTAAAAGCTAAGAGTAAATTTGTAGCTCAAGGTAATCAAGGACTACATATTTCACAAACTGGGCTAATTCCGGCCCTGTTTCTATTCCTGTTCCCTATCCTAATGCAAGTTCTTTTGATATATAATGTGTAACTTTCAAAACTACCTTAAATTCTTTTTGAAGCAGAATAGTAGTACAGGAACGTGAGATCTAGAGTCAGAATGTTTCCTTTCAAATTGCTGTTTCACCACGTACTGACTGTACCTTTGGTAAATGCTAGAGATTGGATCTGGAACATGTTGCATGCTTGGTCACTAACCTGTGGCAATACTGGGAAGTGGTGCAACCTTTCAGAGGTGGGGCCTAGTGGAAAGAAATGAGGTTTTTTGAATAGGACATAGGGACCCAAACCTTTCCCCTCTCTCTTTCCTGGGTGCCACAAGAACAGTTTCCTTAAAAGCTACAGGGCCAAGTGACCATAAATTGAAACCTTCAAAACCATGAGCCAAAATAAACCTTCCCTCCTTATATTTATCTCAGATGTTTGTTACAGTAACACAAAGTTGACTAGCATAGGAAATTACTTAATGACATGAAACCTCAGTTTTCTCATCTGCAAAATGTGTGTAACAGTTTTTACTTCACAGAGTTTTATAGGAGGTAAATCATGTCAAGTACTAAGTACAAGGCCTGGCCCATCGAGGGTATTCAACAAATGCATGCCATTGTAACAAATGTTATTTGATGTTCATATTAATAAAAAATTAAAGAAACACATATGTGAAAAAAAGTCTGACTATAATTCTTAAGAAATTAAAACAGTTCTGCTTCCTCCTGGTTTAATTGAAATTTACAGACCTTGATATTCATGACAAGGAGCCATTTTCAGGAAATAGATTTTCAAGTGTTAACAACTCAAATCAGGCAAAAGATTATACTTGATAATTAGCATCAGCCATAGATAGTTAAACAGAAATACAGTGCCTTTTCTATTTGTGTCTCTTTTCCTGCACATATAAGCTAGTCTTCTGTCTTTAGTCTGATGGGTCTATTTACATAGTAATTCTAGAAATGTTGGTGAAATGCAGAAGAATTTTCTCTCTTGTGATTTAAATGAAATATTGCACAGATAATTTCAGAAAGGAATTTTCCAGACAGCAAGAAATAGTTCTCAGCAACATGAAACATCAGGAACAATGCTAGATCTAATTCTGCAAGAGCATAGCCATATGCTGAGTGCACTATTTCATTTCTAAGGACATAGATTTAATTTAATTTGACAACCTGGCATCAGAGTTTTCCTCTGGTCTTCCCCCCCCCCCCGAATAGTCAAGTAATATGAAAATGAAGCATAATAGTAAAAGATTAAATTTGGGAGACTTGACTTGCAGGGCACCAAGGTTATTATGATGCAGTAAATGAACAAAATAAATTAAGGAAAATGCCAATGATACTTGTACAATATAAACACATCTAACACATAGCTAATGAGAATCCTATGTGCACAATGAAATGTCACCATTTTTCTAGCTTTTTTTTTCCCCTAAACCATTTCCATCTATCATATTTGTAAAATCCATGCAGGAATTCTTAATGGTGTTATAGTAAATTATGTAACATTTTTATCGTTACCAAGACAAAAGAGGAATCTTTTGTATTAGCAATGGTGTTTCATTTTCTTCAATGCTAACGAGCCCATTGGAATGTCCCTTTATTTAAAATGGTTAAAGCTAGCAAATTTATTTTAGAGGAATCTGGCTATAAAAGTAGCCCTTCCTAACTTATATCTAAATATTTGAAGATTTTTTTTGTTATTGTATAAGAAAATAATGATGGATTACAATTTAGTGCACAAAAATTAATTTGAAGGTTTATCTTATTCCTATTCCTAATAAATCCATTTATTTGTGTTACATAGCTTATTTTAGCTCTGGTTATGCTGTTTTAAAGATATAATAAATATTTATCTACTTTAATAGCATATGATCATTGATTCTCCATTTAAATTTTATTTGTTGATTCTACATTGTGATAAAAATGTAGGATTCTACATTGTGATAAAAAAAAGTAAGTTATAAATTTGAGGCTCAATGATAATTTCTCTTTTTCTTTGTTTAGTCTTCCTGTATAATTAAAAAACAAAACAAAACACCAATCAACCAAACAACAACAACAACAACAACAAAAAAAAAAAACAGCCCCAAGGGAGTCTTTGATCATATGTTTCAAATTGTCAGTCTAATGTTGGTCTAGCTTGGTAACTTTATAGACATCAGCTGTCAGGCAATGGGTGTGTATGTCAGGGACATTGATATTCTTATGGCCAGCTAAGTGGTTACCACGTTGCCTTGGGAACACAAGCTCATCCTTGTCCATCATATTTCTCATCTGTTTCTAGGAGACAAGGAATTCCCATTCTTTCAGAATGTTGCTCATTAAACTTCTCAAATGACTTAGGAAACCATGGTCCAGGATGACACACGGAGCAGTCATTAATGTATGTTTAAAATGTCTTTTTTTTTTAAAAAAAATCTTATTTACTTTTGTACAAGTCAGTGTTATTATTGCAACTTCTGGACAGTAAGACTACATTGTAGAAGGAATCAAAGATTTTCTAAAGTCAGCTGGAGAGTTCAAAATAAAAGTTTAAGTCTAGAACTCTGACCACTTATTTTAGACTTCAAATGTTTTGGCTTTTAGATAATGGCATGAAAAATTCTGTTTTGATTAGAGGACTGACTGTTTCTTTGTCAATTGTCTCAATTGCACTGAAATGAATGCACCTGGGGGGGGGAACCCAATTTTCGTGGGGCATGTATTATTGCCTGATACTTCATATGCATCAATTCAATTTATTCCTTATAGCATCCCTATGAGACAAATATTGCTGTCACCAATTTATAGATTAAGAAAATAAAGCAAAAAGACAGATCCAAAGAGATCTAGGATGAATCCCAAGTTTTTGGTTTAGGTTTGGGATCACTATGCCAAAGGCGGGGAAGGATTGTTAAGGGATTGTGGAATATTTTCAGATTTTACTATGAGTTTCACGTACGTGGTAGCAATGTGTAATGATAAAGAGTGAAAAAAGTTTTCTCGCCCTGGGGGGGATGGCAGCTTGCTCTTTTTCCCAGAGGATTAGTGACTCCATGATTCGAAGGCAATGCACTGTTTTCATCTTAATATAATCTATGATATATTATATAATTAACATTTAACACTTCAAAATAAATGAAGACCCTTCAAAGAAAAAATCCCAAAGTTTCTTCAGGCAGGGTTTTGCTCCTGTTCACTTCTGTCCTTGGGGTACTTGATGACAAGTTGGACAGCTCTGAGGTGCTCCCTTTCACTATGGCGGGATTTCCCTGGCTCACCAGCTCACTTCATGGCACGCTTTCCAAGTATGAGAATTTACTTCGTAGAAAAAGCAACTTTGGAAAATGAATTACTCTCCCTGAGAGGATAGCAGTTCCCATATATATTAAAAAAAAAAAACTCTTTTAGCAATGGTTGGATATAAAAAAGTTTCTGTAGAGCAAAGCCAATTAGCAATGTGGTGGACACTCTCAATGAGAATTTAAAAAATGTTTTGGCACTATGTGCCTGTCAGCAGAAATACCAGAATCTTGAAACTCTCCAGTGTCTTTCTCTGGAAGTGTCCAAGAGAGCTCAAATTGTTTTTTTGATGGTCATTAAAAAATGTCCTGGAATGGTTAGAATTGACACCCTCTGTAGCACCCTGTGGTACCTCTTCTCATAGTTGTGACTGACCCCAGTGTTTGCTTCTGTACCTCTTCATGGCTCCCTATCCTGATGGTAGTCCTCTCTGACGGATGGTGTCCTCCTAGTGTGCAATGCTCCTGTGACATCCAGTACTTCCCCAGCATTGCCCTAGGGGTTGTTTACTATAATTGCTCATTTAACTGTTTGTCTTTTCTACCAGACTATAAGCTCTCTGAAGGCAGGGCCTGTTGCTGTCTTAACCACCTTAAAAAGAAGTTGTTTAAATACATTGGATGAACTCATGATGGAATGGCCCTGACCAGTGCTTTTTCAGAACTGGCAGAGGGCTCTCTTCTCAGCAGAGTTATAGTTCTTCACAAACTTTTAGAAAAATCATTACTGCCCTTCCCACCTTCCAGGAACCCTGGTCAAGTTCCTGTGGGTCTAGGTTACAGAATGTTTGAGAAAGACCAAGCAGTTGCCTCTGCAAAAAGTTAACCAGTACTTAGGTCAGAGTCCAGATGCTTCTGACCCTTACTTTAGGGAAGAATGTGGTTCATCCAAAGCCAGGAATATGACATAGGAGGTGGCTATTGTCCTCCCACCTTATCTGACCGTCTTAGCCCCAGGACTAAACCATCAAATTAAAAAATGGAGATGAAAAACAAGCTCTGGACTCAGATTGCTGAGGTTGAATGCCAGCCCCGTCACTCCTAGAGGGATGACTTTAGGCCAGTTGCTCTGCCTTGAGAAACTTGAGCTGCCTCTGTGAGGTGGAGCTAATTAATACCAGCCTACCTCACATGGCTGTCATAAGAAGTAAAGGAGACAAAAGTATTTAACACCGTGTCTGGTATGTAGCGCATACTATAGATGTGAAATATGCTAGTGTTCTTATAAAAAATTCTAGAACATTCTAATATTATAATTTTATATATGCTGGAACTCCCTGAAAGTGTGCCACATATAGATCCCTCAGTTCATGTATACACACATGCACACACACACACACACACACACACACACACAGACAGAGAGAGAGAGAGAGAGAGAGAGAGAGAGAGGGAGAGTTAATATAATCAAACAAGAAACTAGCTTGCTTATTCTGGAAAATGGGTTAATTGAATCAAGAAAAACAAAGGCATGT